CCCCCGGCTCCACTTCCGACAAGCACCCAATCAAGAAGAGAACTACATTGATGACAAACTCTGAATGTGTAGTCAGGACTTTTGAAGGTTTGCAGTGCCAGTGTGAAGTCCCACACTTTCACGTGCAGGGCAATTTTAATTTTTTTAATGATACGGCGACCACCGAGATCTACACTCTAGGCCTTTGCCAGAAATTGGCTGAAGCTGTCTTCAAGGAGGCCCAGCGGTTGGAAGTCATCTAAGCTGCTGCTGGCTGACAGCCTGCTAATTACAATCTAAATTTGCAACCAGCAGAATTGCGAGACAGAAAGGCTCAAAACCGAGCGAAGTGGGGCGCAGGATTTCATCAGGGTGACTTAGCCTGGTTTCATCTGAAACCGAGCGAAGTTGGGGGGGGGTGGCATTGAATCCGAGCTAAGTGGGGCGCAGGATTTCATCAGGGTGACTTAGCCTGGAATGGCCACAACCCCTGGACTTAGCCTGGTTTCATCTGAAACCGAGCGAAGTAGGGCGCAGGATTTCATCAGTGTGGCTTAGCCTGGATTGGGATTTTTGTGAATTGAAACTTCATCAGTTGTGATTTCAGCATGGCTTTTGATTCTTTTTGAATTCTTGCAGTGCTTTTGGGCTTCTCAAGCTCTTGCGGGGCCTGATGGATCAGGCCTCAATGATGGCAGCGCCTGTCACCCCGTCAATGTCCTTGGAAACCATGCTGGACCAGTCGATGGACTCAGAGCCACCTGGCCTGGTCTTGAAGTCCAACGTGAAGGAAGATGTGGAAGATGTGAAGGATGTGAAGGATGTGAAAATGGAAGATTCTATCACCCTCCAAGGTCGAGACAAGACCTATTTGGATGAGCTAGGAGCGCTGGAGGCAGCTGTGAGAGATGCAGGTACTTCAGACTTCAAGCCAGCCTTTTATGCCTTGGGCAAATTTGTCTTGACCAAATGGAATGGCGCCCGCAACTTCCTGCAGGAGATCCTGCCGATGGACAGGGCGGCTGAATTTGTGAGTGAATTGCACAGCATGTTTCCAAAGAGTGATGCCATTTGCTATGCGACAGAGCTTCCTGGAAATGATTCAGATGAATTCAACTTACATTTGTCGGATCTGAGCTGGTTTGCAGATTCTTCAACGAAGCCAGCCCCATACCTTCACACTTGCCTGCAGCTCTGGGATGAGATCACAACGAATGGTTTCATTACAAAAGGTGCCTCACTTGAATTGTGGATTTGAAGGGGCACAATGTTGGTTTAAGATGGCAATGGTTTTACCCTAAGCTGCCATGGGTTTTTGAACTTCAACATGCAGATTTGAGGTGATCCACTTCTCTTGTGGAATGGACCTGAATGCAAGCGGGACTTTGCTTGGGTGCACTACTTGAAAGGGGCTGCAAGAGGTACAATGGCAGTGTTCACGGCCTTGCTTGTTGTGAGTTTTCGTAACTGGGTTGCGAGTTTATTCATGTGCATTTTTTTTTACTTATGTCATACATATGAAATAACCTAAATATACTAACATAATATACACAGTGTTTTTGTTGAAGCAATGTCAAGATTAAGGCATCAAACTGCATATCCTGCACCGTGAGCTCTATGACAGCCTGGCATCCATCCGTTGCCGCCGTGGTTCCATGTCACATGACTTGATGAGAGTTGCCTTCACCAATGCAAAACTCAGTAGCAGGGGGGGCCATCAGAAAGTCTCATGATGTGGCATGCTGGCTTGCAAAGATTAGCATGCTTTGTGAGCGGGGAATGAAGGCTGACAGCGCCATCAAATCATGGAATAGTGAGGCAACGCGTGAAAGTCAGTTGACAGGACAGAAGAGAGTAGCTTTGCTGGCCTTGCTGCAAGCACATGCAGGGACAAAGGAACTCCTGCTGGCACACTCCAGCTTCTTTGGATCTTCATCAGCGTTCAGTGAGGAGTGCTTTGCAGCCAAGAATCTATTCCCGGGCTATACGCCCAGATCCATCCTGGACAAGCAATGGCGTTCCCGCCTCACGATGACTGAGGCAGGTTTCTTGCTCTTCTTGCGCTACACAGATGCCAGTCATCACCAGAAGTTGGTTGAAACCCGTGGCAAGCTCAGCAAAGAGAGGATTTCAGAGCTATGCCAACTTGCCCAGCTAGTGGTGTCGGTTGAGGCAGAGTTGCAGGAGGGAGGGGTGATCACCAGCAGGGTGACAGAAGCTTTGTTGGCATGCGATGGCAATTTGGAGCTAGAGCTTCAGGTGGCTTTGAGTGAAAAGAGCACCAAGTGGAAACCTGCTGATTTGGGCCTAGTCCAGGAAGTTCTCAAAGAGCATTCCGCTACTTCAGATGCCAAGTTCTTTGTGGAGAAACGTGTGGTGGCAGCTGGAGAGCTTGAGCGGGAGGAGTTTGACTTGATGAAGAAGATGTTTGAGTATCTTGGGATTGTTTAAGAATTGAACTTTTTCAGCTGGCCTTTTTGGTGATTGCATGTCATCACAACAAGTGTGAGTATACTCAGACCGTCTCAAACCTGAAGGCATGATATCAAAGCCTTTGAGAACTGGAAGGTCCGTTGCCGCGACAGAGATTCTGCAATCTACCACGCGGAATTGCAGCACAAGGTGCAGCGTCAGTCTGAGGCCCAAAAGCAGGCCCAAAGTTTGTTTGATCTTTCATCGGGGCATTGGATCGCATCTCTGGAGATCCTTGGCACAGCCAACGAGGTTTTGCAGCGAGTCAAGGCCGCACTTGGCAAGATTCAGACAAGCTTTCAACTGCGGCAAGAGGAGATCTATGTTCTGGCGGTCTGCAGCTGGAGCTCTCCGAGCTTGGTTAGCTCTGCTGCTCAGAAAGCCCAAGCCACAGCAATTGGGGCACTTGGCAACGATGCTGGTTCCAATGGGCGCGTGATTGGGTGTGTTTTGGAACCATGCCATACATACAACAAGGGACAACTTTGGAAGCAGGAAGAGTTGCTGCACAAGATGCTTGTGAACAACCGG